GAGTGTGTGTGCTCGAGATGCATTTAGCTGCGAATATTGATACAATGCAACACTCTATCAATATGTACATAAAGACATCTTGTAATTATTAAACAAGGGAGAATTGTTATCTACGGCAAGTCGAAGACTTATTACCCTTTAGTATATATATGACATTTGTTTGATTATATTACATAATATTATAAAACTATATTATATGCTCATGACGATATCTTTAAGATTTCGAGACTAGTTGCCATAGATACAGACAGACGAACATGGCTATAGCGATCCGTCTGTTAATCGAGAATATATATATTCCCTATGGGGACGTCATCTTTTATGTGTTACACATTCAGTGACAAAGTTGTCATACCCTCTATAAGTGTATGAGCATACAGTTTTATGAAGCACAATCACATTACACATACGCCCCGTCGGCCAACGCCTGACACTAGGTTAAAGTTCAATGGAACGTGCGCTCAGCTCTGCTCTGCTGCATTATCTGAACGTCTGTGATTATGTGCGCCTGATAAACTTTGGCTTCTCCGATACTTTATGGATATATGGTATATATATATTAGTTGCTGTAATTAAGCGCAGTTTTAGTTGGCTTGATATTGAAACACCTGCCGTTGATTCAGCTCTTTTTAAATCAGCGAAAATATTATATTTATTATTATATTGCGATAGCCAATTATTGCCTTTTATTTAAATGCCAAGAAATGGCAGCTGTTTTGGAAAGGTTTGCATTTATTTGTATAAAGCTGATTTTCAATCGAAGGCCAAAATTTTAGCGACCCGGCCAATTGGCAATATTGTAATTGCCTTAATATCCGGTTGGCGTTGATCTGAACGTCAACATGCTGACTGACATCCGACATCGGTTAAATATTTATCAGGCAGTTGACGCTACTTTGACATTTTGCCAGCTAGGCCGCATCAAATATACATAATACCTAGAATTTTTGGATTTGGGTCGTGAAATTGAAATGTTTAACAACTCTTCAGCTTGAAAATCAAATATTTACAATTATTCTGCTTGCCGTACTGCATTAAGCCCAGCTAAGTGTAGTTCAAAGCAGTCTTTTTGAGTTCTTAAATAAAATAATGAACAAGTAAAAGGTTCTAGTCGGGAGCTCCCGACTAGGGGATACCCTGAACCCTCTTTTTCCAACATCAAATGCATATATATATACTATTTTAGAAGCGTCAATATACGAAAAAGTATAAAAAACATAGTTAGATTATGGCTCAAAATCCATTAAAAGAGGCCTAAGTATAAAAGTGCCAGAGAGATTTGCTAGAGATGAAATTATTTGAGTATTGTTATACCCTGGAAAATGGGTATAAAAGGGTATAATGTTTGTGTGCAAATGTATGTTAGGAAGCATGTCCGACTATATATTATTATATATATTCTTGATCCGCATCAATAGTCGAGTCCATCAAGCCGTGTCTGTCCATTCGACTAATAGATTATATTAGAAAACTTTGAAAATTTGGAAAACTACATAATAAAATATTACAAATATTACAATATTTCATAACTTAGGCAATTTCAAATATTTTATATAAATGTTTTTTATTATTAATTAATTTTTTATTTTTTATTTCTATAAACAAAAGAATAGCCATTTAATTCTCTTCAATGGTCAAAAGCAAAACATTTGGCTTAAACGTTTATAATTCCGCTTTATTGTTGTTTCTTTTTAATTTCGATCTTTGATAAATTATTTAATTAAGTTAAAGCTACGAATATGGTTAAATCGACGCAATAGAGCCCGCATTAAATTAGTTAATTATGTTTAGGCTGCAAATATAAATTAATTGAGCCACAATAAAAGGTCATTTAAGGCAGAAATAAATATTTATGAAAATTATAAAAATATGCAAATAAATAAAGAATATAAGTAATATATGGCGATCTCAATAAAAAGTTCGTCACGAACCAAAATAAAAGTAACCGAACCCAAATGTAGCTCATTTGTATGAGCTGCAAGGCTTTCAATTAGAAGCAGAAGCAGCAAACAGACTCAATTTCATATATTATAGTTTGATATCTTCGTTAATTTCTGTGCATATTATCTAGCTGGTGTCTCCTTCTCTTAACGTGTCTGACATTTCCGCTAAGAGAGATATGGCCAAGACGGCAATTGGGCTTTTGTCTATATGCCAAACACGTCGCCTCTTGCTGATTAATCTTTTTGACGAAATCTTCTACGGAGCATGCTCACATTTTCAGACATTGGGGCTTGGCACTTTTCTCAGATTTCTGGATTTATTTTGCCTGCGCATGTTTTTGCGAACACGCTGCTCTCGAAATATTGTTTAATTTCGAATTAATTTATGGCCAACAAGCATCATAATTAATGCTTCTAGTGGGGGTCAAGTCTTTAAACTCTGTGCGAAGGTCGAACTTGTTGTTCTAAAGGCAACAAAAGAGATTATCTTGCGATCTGAAAACTGCAAAAATAATACAAATAAATAAATACAAAGACGACGGCGTATCTTTCAATCAATTTTTAAACAATTATTTCAAATACAATAGAGGGCGAGCACTTGGGCAAAAACTCAGGCGCTTTGTTGTTAACGCTGAGGTCAAATCGGTCGAAAAATGGCACATCTGGCCATCCACGTGAGTGTGTGTTTGCCTTGAGAATGTCTCAATACGTGTGTAATGACTTTAAGATACATTTGTATCTTTTGCAAACACAGCACCCTGTAAACGTATGGATTAATGACTTTAAGATACATTTGTATCTTTTGCAGACACAAAGCACCCTGTAAACGTTTCGATTAAAGACTTTAAGATACATTTTCAGACACACAGCACCCTGTAAACCTATGGATTAAAGACTTTAAGATACATTTGTATCTTTTGCAGACACACAGCACCCTGTAAACGTATCGATTAAAGACTTTAAGATACATTTGTATCTTTTGCAGACACAAAGCACCCTGTAAACGTATCGATTAAAGACTTTAAGATACATTTGTATCTTTTGCAGATACACAGCACTCTGTAAACGTATCGATTAATGACTAAGATACATTTGTATCTTTTGCAGACATACAGCACCCTGTAAACGTATCGATTAATTACTTTAATATACATTTGTATCTTATGCAGACACACAGCACCCTGTAAACGTATCGATTAGGCGGACGGACAAAGCACACGGCGCAAAACAAAATACAATCTATGTAAACATGTCAGAATCCAACTCGTGTGTCCAATACTTAATGTATCTTGTGCATCGATCTTCTACTACTTCTACTACTTCTTCAGTTTTTTGTTTTTCCGCTTGCTCTGCAACGAGTGATTAGACACACACAAGAGGCAGCGGCAAATGTTATGGCAGCAATAAAACCAGGTTACAAAATGCAGCCAGACACAACATAAAACTCGCAAACGGCACACTTAAAAATCAGCACAGAAGCGCGCAGAGAGAAATAACATCAATAAAACGCGAATGGCGGCAAAAAAGTGAGTCTGTCAATTGATAAAAAGTCTATTAAAAAAAAATTATGTTATGCTGAGACTCCTCTACAAAGAAAGTCGATGTCCCATTACCAGCAACTTTTCCAGTTTCGAGCCAATCCCAACTTCAACTCACGCACCAAAAGATACTTTTCGCTTGGGTTCAACTAAAATGTTGCAGCTTACGATAAGGTTGCATCCAAAAACTTTTTAATCAAGTTGCTTTGAAATTTTCAACAAAAGACCAAACAACTATGTTATTTCGGGCGAGATTTCTAGGATGGAAGTTATCAAGTTTTCATGCAGCTTTAATTAATAGTTTGTGACAAATTTTCATTGCAAAGAACAACTAATTTGCATTTAAAAAAGTTGAAAGTTTAAAGTTAACAAGTTTTTTGATGCACATTTTTATGGTTTATGAAAGAGAAAATTGTATAAATATACGACTGAGTAGATTTTGTATTTTAACCTATTATCTATATAAGAGTTTACTTTATAATCTATATGGGAATATATATTATTATCTACATATATATATATATGTAAATCTGCCTGTATTCATAATGATTTATTAAAATATAAACTTTAACAACACAAGTATGAAACTTCTTAAATATTCTTTATACTAGCAGAAAAAGATTTGATAGAAACCCTAATAAAAATTGTTGTTAATTAACGAATTTAAAGGAGAAAAAACAAATAAAAATCTCATTGATTTTAATTAAAAAAATATTTTTCTTGTTAAAATTCCTTTGTTCACCTGGCTGAAAGAATTTGGCTTGCAATTTGCAATTGGCATATAAAATCTAATTAATTTGCCACTGTTGGCCATCGCAGCCAAGTTCTACTGTACCCAGCGCGACTAACTAGCAACGCTTTTCAACTTCTGTGTTGGATTTGATGCTCATCTAATATGGCTGCCCCCAAGCCCCGGATTGCCCCGGACTGCGACGGCGACTGCGACGGCGACGGCGACAGCGACGGCGACTGCGACTGAAGCGTGAAGCGCAGTTGCGTTTTCGTTACGTTTGGCTGAATGCGTAGCCAACGGCAGAGCAGGGCAGTCCAGAGACGACCACCCTCCCGGCCAATAAAAAAAAAAAAAGAGTAGAAGCTTCACATATGAAGTTGTAAATATGTAGGAGCTGGCTGAAATAAACGAGCCAGCCACTGCATAAAATTCCACAGCTCGACACGCACACACACACACACGCACACCAATAGAGAGAGGGAGCAGCTTCTGTGCCGCAATGTCTGGTGCTCAAACCGGGCAGGTGGCTAGCTGGGCGCGCGCACGCTTCTAGCCAGGCTGGTCGGGTCTGGCCTGGCCTGGCCTGGTCTGGCCGGAACGCTTGACCGGCTGATGATGCGCGGCCTCGACTCGACTGGCTGGCCAACAACTTGTGCACATATTGGCATATTTTCCGGTTCTAGGCAAGAAGAAAGTGCAGACAGATGCTGGCAACCGCCATTCGCATAAATATTAAACGGCCATCAAATAATAATATAATAAATAATAATAATATGTCAAAATTACTTTGCTTATGTTTTCTTGGCAGCTTTCCAGGGATTTCGCAATTTGTTGTTTTTGTTTTTATTTTGTTTTTTGGGCAATTTCACTTGTAGTGATTTTTAATTATTTATTTTTGCTTTTAACTGTTTTAGGATTTTCCACTTTTCTGCGGCTAATGAAATTTTCATGTGCACGAGAGCACAATGAGGGCGCACCGTGTGTACACACACACACACACACAGACAGGCAGAAGAACTCACACTCTGTTAAACACACAGACACACAGATAAACGCGACACGAGACAAAGTGTTTATTTAACTGTTTTTTTGTTTATTAGTTTGTTAGGCGGCAAAGTCAAGCGTATCAATGCAAAACAAACGCGCAGCCGATGAGCACCATTAAAAGACTGAAACTGAACTGAAAGCAGAGCCGAATTCGTAGCCAATTGCAGCCTGAGAGATACACAAAAATGTTAACGGCGGCCCGGCATGTCTGTTAACATGCAAAGAGAGCAAGAGCCAACACGTCGCTCTGTTAACATAACATAAACAGTCTCTTTAGTGGGCTGTGCGCGTTGATTGACTGTTGATTTGTGGGCTTTCCATGGTGCGATTAATGACAAGAGCTCAGCGGATGGCCGCACAATATGTTAAGCTTGGCTGCGCCGACTTAGTTGGAGTTAATGTTGTTCTTCTTGTTGTTGCTGCTGTTGTTGTTGTTGTTGTATCTGTAACCACAGATTAAAAAGCGCTAGAGGCGCAGAAATCTCACTGTGCGATCCCATTAAAGTTTTTACTTATGCATCAAAAATGAACAACATACAATATTAAATACGGTATAACGGTATAAATGTATATACGCTTAAGTAACATATATTCTATTAACATAAAAACATTAAAAATCGAAACGTTGAATTTAGGTTTAACGAAAAGGTTCTGTGATTTTGGCCCTTTATGTCATTAATTATATGGCTTTTCTAATACATTTTGATATTTTAGATTAAATTCATAGTATGTATATATGATATTTATTAAATGAACTAATATGAAAACTGATTTTACTTTCACTTTATTTGATGGAAATTTTATGACATCTGACTTTCCAAATTTTAACTAAAATGCTCTTCAAAGATTATTCAATCAAATGTGCTCGAATAAAATAACATGGGCCCCAATCATAGCATATTTGTACCTTTATCAAACTTGCAGAGAGTGTTTACAATTCCTAGGTACAACTCTTAGGTACATTACTTTGCAACATAATTAGTAGTATCACAGACATCAGGTAATTAGAGCATCGTATCAAGCACTAGTCGTAGCTACGCCCACTCGCTGTGGCCCTCACAATGATAGCTCACTGTACGGGTATCCCATAGCGTTAAATGTCACGCTGTTGAGCATTGGCAATGGCCATGGCCATGCTTAGAATGCCAGAAACAAAAGGCGCCGCCAATGTGCAACAAAAAATAAAGCACAAATGCAAACCAAACGGGTCACGATTACAGTTGGGGGCACAGCGGGGCGTTAGCAGCAGCAGAGCTGGAATGGGTCGTAACAGCAGCCTGTTAGACGCTTAACAGTGCGAGAGCGGCAGCTGTTAAGCAACAGAAGCAGCCAGCTTGGGCACGCGACAATATCAATAACAAAAACAGCTACTGACTGGTAGATGGATGGTTTGATTTTCACAAATGTGACAGACGTCAGTCAAAACTGTCAGCGGCAGCATTTAAGAAAATCGATAGATAGATACTTAAACATTGGCTTAAATCGTTGTTGTAGCCAGCTTTTGGTTTTTAACTTTTAATGAGCCGCCGTTTTGCTCTGCCTGACATCTCATTCATTACGGCGTTTCTTTTCATACTTAGCATCTACTTATGTACACAGTATATACATATATATATGTGTATAATTTTATAGCTAAACTGTTGTAGCTCTTTGCTGTGCGCCTTTGCCATTAAGCATTAGCCACTTGGCATTTGCCATTGTTTCGAGGCACTGCGTTTAACTGGCAGCTGGCGTTCCCATTGTTGTTGCCATTCTCTTTTCGGCTCACAACTAATCAAATATTTATGCGCTGGCATTTAAATAATGCAGTAGCTACTGTATTTTCACTTTTTTTTTCCGGGCCCAAGCATATTGCATAAGCTAAGGAAAGTATTTTCGTGTGCTGCCCACGCGGCGTATGCGCAATTTTGATGTATTTAAATATTTAATGGCAAGTCAAGAGTCCAATTCGTTGACCCTTCCAGCCCTGCCCAGACACGTCTTATGCTACCTCTGCTCCACAGCCTCACTTGGCTATTTGCTTGTGTGATTCTGAAGTTTAAAGAAGCATTGAACTTTTGCTGCTGCCAAGTTCAAGAGTTCATCGCGGCCAGCAGCAGCATCTGTTGTTGTTTTTAGCCCAACGTCAATGTTTTCTAATGCTCCTTGCAATGCCTGCCGAGTGGGGTATATCTATTTTGTGCACACAGAATGGCACATATAGGAAACTATGTCTATCACAAATGCTAACAATAACATTTATATATACAATTAAAATATAGCTTAAAACAGATCAAGTCGCTCGATGCCTTTGGTGTCAGCTTGCACATCCTCAGCCAAACAAATTGAAGCCTAGTCTAGTCTAAACGAAAATCAGTTAGAATTAAAGATGTAAATTATAAACTTAAAAAAAAATTAACCTCTTTATACATCTGATTCCGGCTGAAGATGTCAGTTTTCCGGTGAAACTACTCAGTTAAATGTTAACTCTGTTAGTTAACATAAATATGTTAAATGTTAACTCTGTTAAATGTTAAATGTCTGTTAATCTTTGTTGATGCATACATATTTGGCACTCTCATAGTCCATCCTAGCTCGAGTGTTTTTCTAGGGCATCTCTCAGTGCAGCAACTTGTAATCCTATCGCATACTTAGCATATTTCCATGCTTATGGCTCTTGTTGCGCTTTTATTGTGCGGCCAAGGCATTCGAACCCACAACTACGCTCTCCTTGGCTTGACTCAGCACGGCGCGTTCCCTTCCTTTGTGGCGTCTGCCACGTTGTTTTGGCCACTTGAAGGTTCCTTGACGCGACGTCTCCGCTGCCACAGGACACAATGGGCAAAGTCGCTTTATGCGAGGCGTTCGCCTGTTGGCGCTGCCATTAATTCTATTTGGCCGTCTGCTCCTTTATGCTATCAATGGCCCGGCATGCCACGCCCTGCTCCCATTATCCCTTCCAGCATAAAATTAGTAAAGCAGTCGCGACTTAGTCGGAATTTTTTGTATTCCTTGTCTCTTGTTTGCTTTGCCGAATATATTCTGGCATAATTAATGGTCAGTTCGTCAGCTCATCAGCTGAGCTGAGCGGGTTGCGGGCAGGGGCTGCGGGCAGGGGCTGTGGGGGTGTGTCCGTCACGCATAATTATCTGCGATGCGATATTTGGCAAGTTCATCGGTCTGCGAAAGTTTCAGGTAAATGTGTTCTTGGGGGCGTTGTCTACTAGTTAAAGTGCTTCGTTAAATTTAAAATTAATTAATAGATTTCGATTTGTTAAGCTCGAAACTTAGTATTAATTGTAAAAAGTGAAGAAATATTTCTGTGTTCAAATCCGTTGCAGATACATATAAAATCTTATCCTGACCTTGTTTTTGTTAATTTTATTATGTACGAATAAGTTGTATTTTATTTTGTTTTCTAAAAACATTAAATTTAACAATAAATCAAATGAATAATACAAAAAAAAAAATAATTTAACAATGCTTGATATATCAAAATGCGCTTATTTTTCAAATCTGTTTTCTATTATATGAAAGAAAAAAAAAACGTAATGAATTTTATATGAATATGGCTAGGTTTAGTTTAAGGCTCTGCTAGGCTATTATTGGAACTCTGTATTGAACTGTTTGGTTCAGAATCAATTTCCAGCCTTTAACATAAAAATGTCACTGTTATTATATTTATGGAATTTATGTAACATATTAACATATCAATTTGTATCAACTCATTTACATGTTCTGTTATTAAATGTTCAGTAAGACGCTTTAAAATTTTTTACCAATACAAAACTTATTACGTATGCTGTCACACATTTTGCTGCTATTTCCGGTTTCTTTAAGCTCTGTTATGCTAAAAAGAATACACTTAAATCAAAAGTTTGTAACTTTATAATATAGCCAAGCCAAAACAAACATTGCTTGGGCCTTCATTGTTGTCGGCTTAATGTAAATTTCTATTGGCACTTTTAATTAAAGTTAAATCGCGCTATAATTTCTATGAGCGCACAAAAAAAAAAAAGACGCTAAGCTATATTTATGAGGCAAAGCCTAGCTAAAAGCCCAGCAGAGGCTTAGCCTATGTGCCTCGAGAGGGGTTCGACTTGAATAAATTTAAATAAATAAATTAACCTTTTTTCAGTTTTCACTCGGCGACTTTTGACACTCTTACCACTCGGCAGCTGCTTGTCTTTTGTCCAGCCCCCTTTTAATTAGTTCGTGCACGCCTCTGCGCCAACCACAAAGCACGCTCGCGCAGCTTGCTGGCAATTTGTCTCACAGCTTTACTCATGCCGCTTTCGCCTGAGACAAGCTTCATTCAGAATTCTTTTTATTCTCAACGCTTTGAATAAGTGACTCGCCCGCCAGCGGCTTAGATGAATGAAGTTTTGGCCACTGTTTCGCAGCAACAAAAGTCCAGAATACAATATTTTCCAGCTAAGACCCAAACCAGTTTTGGGATGACAACAGCTCACCTGTTTCACGGCCACGGCGGAGATTTGTGCGGTAGCTATGTGGCCCTCTGTCAGACAAAGAGGGATGTTGCGTCTGTGCAGCATACAACCCCAGACGAAAGTCCATGTGTGTGTGTGTGTGTGGATTTCCATTTGGTTAAATGCACGAAATTTACGAGTCTTCGTGCAGTGCACGTGCACACGTCCTTTTCATGCTTTACGAGCATTGGGTATTCACAAATTTTCTACTTTCTCGCAAATGTTATTGAACCCCAGCGAAGGCGTCGTCCTCGGCGTTGTGCCAAATGACTTTTAAACAAAAAAGAAAAAGAAAAAAACAATTTCCAATTTGGAATTTCTTCGCCCTAGGCCAGTCATAAACTATACGCAGAATATGCCCAAGCAGACAGTCAAAAAAAAGGATATATAAAAAATAATTTGTATCCTACAGATACTTGAAATAGTTTGCCTTTGCAGACAGGCATTGAACTTAATGCAATTTGCCAGCACGAAAATTGAAAGCGACAAAAATCAATATGAAACAGCAAAAACAAAAACACTCTCGAAAGTATGCAGCGACAGCTGCAGTTGAAGCAATTAAGTGCAACCTCAACAACTAAATACAAAAGGGCATTCCTTTTTTTTTTGTGGTGCTATTAACTTAAATGACATGGCAACAACAAGCTGCGCCAACTGTAGACCCCAACTGTAGACCCCAACTCTAGACCCCAACTGTAGACCCCAAACTTTCACATCTTTCAAATGAAAAGCATTAAAATCGCTCGCCCGAACTGAACATGCAATTTAAAGCGCTCGTTGGCAGTTCTTGTTGCTGCTGCTGCTGTTGGCAGTTGGCACTGTGAGTGCACTCACACACTCACACACACACAGGCAGAGTTAACAGCGTCTAACGCGCTGCCACTTGGCTAGCAGCAGGAGCAGCCCCCACAAGTATGCAAGGGTTTTTTTTGTTGCTGTTTTCAAGCACACATTTGCCCACTTTATGGCTCAAAATGCAAGTTTTTTGTTTGTTTGTTGTCCTGCGCTGCCAAAGGGGTTGCTGTACTTGTTGTTATTGTGCCTGGCTTGGCTTTTGTGCAATGTGCGCCCGGGTGTTTTAATAAACGCAGTCAGTCTGTGTGTGCAGCTCGTTTCTCTGTGCACACATTGATACGTATATGTGTGTGTGTGTGTGTTGGAGTATGAGTGTGTTAGCGACCCTTTTCCATTTATCGCTTTATTTTTCATTAACATTTTTCAAGTTGTTTTCAACTTGAAGTTTTTAAAGTTGTCACCCCAAAGCAACGCATGCGCTGCCATTTGCAGCAGAGAGCGCTCGCTGTTAACTAACAGTGCACTGTTAACGCAACTGTTACAGCTGTTACAGCTGTTGCGGTGTGCAATTTCGGCGTCTGGCTTCTGATGCTATTTATAGACATTTTCGGCTTATGCCGCGGCTAAAATGTACATACACATATGTATACGGCTAGTTGGTGTGGGTGTACATGCATACGCACACATGTATCCGTGGGTTGGGTTGGTTAGATATAAGACCAGAGATAAGAGAATATTTACAGTATTTTGGATTTTAAATGAATTTGACAGGTTTATGGCAGAGCTTATATCTAAATTAGTTACAAATCTATTACATATTTATTGAGTATATTTCTATATCTCTACACATATATATGTATATACATAAGACTGATTGACTGACTGATGATCAACGCACAGCCCAACCCGTAAGAGCTAGGAAGCTGAAATTTTCACAATAGTTTCCTTTTGTGATGAAGGTGTACGTTAAGACTGGGTTTCGGGAAATTCTACACGCAAGTGTAGAAAAATCGCGAAAAATGTTTGCATGAAACTCTTTTGCATACCATCCGATCGAATAAAAAACATTCTCAAAGATCTTTGGCTAAATTCAATTGAGGGGTGCTTGACACATCTCAATGTGAAGATAATATTTAAAATTTTTAAAGGCCAGGGCCGAACAGTTGTGGCTAGTATCCTATATAGACATAGATCGAAATTTTTCACCTTTCACCCGTACTATATAATCGGACAATATTTGGCTGAGTTATTCCAAAAAATCATCAAAAAAGGCTGACCTTACAAACGAAACGGTTTTTGGTCAACAGCTTTCTATATTATATATATAATATTGAATTGCTTTAATTAATTCTCATTTACGCGTTTTTTATAATTAACAGCTTAATACAATTAAATATCATAATGAAGAAATATAATATATATAAGCGACATTTTTACTCTCTTTGCTCGTGTCTTATAATTAACTTGTTTTTAATTTAATAGCATGCTTTGTTTACGTTAACTTAACTAAAATAATTATAAAAAATTAAAGATAAATATTTGCAAAAATTCGCTTATTACTTAAGGCACTTGGATGTGCTGTACAGCGCTTAAATATTGTCGCCTGGGTTGAATACACCTGAAAAACTTGAAACTGGCAGAGCAAACATTTGAGGTGACAGTTCAAACATGCTTCCAACCTCTTACATTTTGCAAGCCACATCACAATATTTACCAACAATCTACTACCTGGCCGAATCCTGCCCCCAATCCTGCCCAACCATCCAGACATTAACACCCTCAACCACCCTCAACCACAGGGAAACTATTAAAGCCAGCAAAAAGAGCAAAAAAAAAACAAAGATACAAGAGCTTTTATTGATTTTTATGCTAATATGCCGTCTGCATGTTTGCAGTTAAAATCTTTTTCAAAGATGGTTCGGGAATAGAAGAGCCTGGCAAAGGACACGACTGTATATTCTGTTGTTCTTGTGGAAGGTTCGCAAGGTTAGGGTTGAAACGCAAACATAAGGTTAACATATGTTCACTGGAAGAGCGCGAGAGAGCGAGAGAGAGAGGGAGAGAGAGAGCGAGAGCTTTAGAGCTTTCATGGAAAATGCAAGAAAACGAAATGCCTGAAAAATAAAATCAATAAATAAAATAAAATAAATAGAATATACAGCCTGAATATATTTTAATTATGGCTACATATAATTTGTTTATTAATTGAAAATTATTTTTTGAACAACTAAAGCTCGACCCTTACAGCTGATTGTAAAAGCTCGAGAGCTTTTGCTCTTAAGGGTTGCTGCTGAATTTTCTTTGGCATTTTCCATTGGTTTACATTCGGGCCAACAAGCTGAGCTGACTTGTTGTTGTTTTCGCTTTTCAAAATTAGCAAATAATTACAAATTGAAATTCAAAAGCGTTCAAAAATTGTTTAATAATTGCCCAAGCTTTGTTTTACTTCAAGTGCCGTTTGGGTAGTTAAGCAAAAAAGAAAGAAACTACGCAAGTTTTGTGCTTGTGCGAAAAAAATCAATAAGCGTGTAAAATTTGTAAACACGCCAAGCCCCCGTATAGCCCAACGTCGCCCCCTCCCCCACCAAGCCAGTGAGCTGTGTCCAATAAGAGATCGGGCTAGAGGCTAACCACAAGCCAGCTGCAACATGATGCTGCCCCTGCTGCTGCTGCTCCTCGTCGTCGTCGCGGCAGCTGTTGCTCAGCCGGAGCTGGCGCCAGCGCCAACTGCCACGCCCAGCGCCAGGCATCGGCTGGCCAAGCGCATGGATCTGGAGATGTGCATCGGTCACTTCGATGTGCACAAGAACACAATTATACGCACGGGTGAATCGCAGGCAATTGGCGGCAAATATCTGCAGGGCCTGGAGCTGGACACGCTGGAGGAGTGCGAACGTCTCTGCTGCGAAACGGATGCCTGCGATGTGTACATCTTTGAGCGCAAGGCCGGCGGCTATTGCTATCTGTTCGAGTGCGGTCCGCCCGAGAATTTCCACTGCAAGTTCACGCGGCACGCCAACTACACGAGCGCCGTGCTCACGCCGCAGGTGCGCAACGCCATGGATGTTGTGGCCAGCACGCCGCGACCCCAGCTGCCGCACATACCCAGCAACAATATATCGCAGCAGGAGTGGGAGCTCAGCAATCTGAAGCTCAGGCCGGACAAGCCCGCAATTGTGGCCATGCCCACAGCGGGCGTGGCCCAGTCACCAGCTGCCCCAACGCCAGCTCAAAGCGGTACGCACACACACACACACACATACACATACATTATGCTAATTTATTCATTTTCCATTTTCGATTTTCACAGCGCCCGCCGCGCACTGCGGACGCTTTCAGTTCAGCTGCCATTCGGGCGAGTGCATTGCCGTTTACAATGCCTGCGATGGCATTCCCCAGTGCGAAGATGGCAGCGACGAGGGACCGGAAGTAAGTTTAATCAAGCAACACACATACACACACACACACACAGACTCAATTTCAATTGCTGACCAACTTTTCAGTGCAATGCCGTTGCCACAAAGGCCAGCGGCAACAACAACAATGTCGAGCAATATCAGCCTGTGCCGCCCATACAGCAGCAATTGCTGCCAGCTCAGCAACCACAGCAACAACAGCAGCAGCAACAACAGCTGCAACAACAACAGCAGCTGCAGCAGCAACATGTTATTGTGCTGGGACCACCACCGCCACCTCCTCCACCGCCGCCCATGGTCAACAATCGTGAGGATGCGAGCGCTTGGGCTAATCGCAAAATGATTGCTGAGTCACAGCAACAACAGCAACAGCAACAACAGCAGCAACAGCAACAGCCTCAAGCGCCAGGCGAGATTCTAAGCACGGGTAAATATGAGTCTTAATTGTAAAAGCCTTTTTAGCTGCATTTCAAATGAAAGCACATTACAAAAGTCTGAATATTACATTAAGACTAGAAAACATTAGAGTAAAATAAATTAATTACCAACTATCCACAACAATTTAAAGAGCGAGGGCAACACTGAGCTCTAGCAATTGGCTAGGTAAGCCCACACTCTCTTTAAATACCCTGTGATTTTGAAAATATGCAGCTTAAGCCGGCGAATTGATATTTGATTAAACTTATTTTGCCAAGAAGCTGGCAGCAAATTTTGCTATAATATGACAAGTGGGGTATGGTTAGGGGACACACTTTGTCTAACAAATGAAATAATAAATAAATGTTTCTTATCTAATTTTTACTGATAGTAAACACAGTTTAACAAACTGTTTATAAAGAAACACAAAGAACAAAGTAAATAGCTTTAAGCATCAGACAGTTGAATACGGCATAATAGAATACTTTAAGGTATAGGGTATTATATAGACGAGGGTGGATCTATGAATATAATTATAAACTGTCATTGAAAATAAGATAAACGTTTTTTATATTATATATATAAAATATGCATTACTTTATAGTTCAGGCATTTATCCCTGAGCCAAACTCGTGAAAAGTTTAAAACATAGCAGATTTTTCAATCAGAAAGTTTGAAACGATTTCCACCAATTTTTCACAGTTGTCTGTGGAATTCCGTTCATCGCATAAATACGTTTCTTTACGCTTGCGGTGAGGGCTGTGCGTTGATAATCAGTCAATCAGTCAGTCAATCAATCTGAAATCAATCAAAAAATAAATATAGAATATATAACATATCTGAATACATCAAAGCCTTAATAATGATCATATGGCAAGTTTGCAAAATACCTGCAAATTATTCACTTGGGCCGATTATCTCCTTGATAGAAAGTTTATAGGGTATTTGGAGGTTGCAATAACTTAACTATCTTAGCTACAAACTGTGACTGTGACAAAAGTATCTTATTTCGGGCAAACACGTAATTATTTTCCGGTAATTCTCAATTCCATTTTGACAACTTGGTTGTAGGCATGCCCTTGGGTGCAGCTGGGTCTCCTCTTGGCAAACACCACAAAGCTGAAAAGAGTCTAGAAAATATTCTGTGCGGCAGCTGAACCAAAGCAAATAAATTAAATGTTGTCGCCGGATTTGCTATTTACAACAATATTTACAAAGGGCACCAAAAAAAATTAACAATTAAATTATAAAGACGAACTTTTTCTATCCTGTAAATCTTTGAAGCATGTTAGAGGCTAGCTAACAAGCTTTGAGAAAACTACAGGAAAATGTTGCAATAAATATTTATAACTAAATATAATTTGAAACTTGCTGCTCTTGTGTATGTTTAGCACATAAATTGCACAGCCAAAGAGCACGCAACTGCATCCAGCTCCAGCTGCTGCTCCCGATGACCAGTCCAGGGTCTGGCCAATTGAGCAGTTGCTGGGAAAATGGCAATTACCCATCAGTTTTCATTGTTGTAATGGGAGCCACGTCGCTCCGAATTGATTTACGACTGTGTTGGTGGGTAGGAGTGTGTGCGTGTGTGTGTGTGTTGTTTTGGTGTCGTTGTCTACTTGTAATTAATTCAATTAGCTGTGCGTTTAACCATTCGCTTCCTCAACAGATGAGCAGCTCAACAGTCACATATTCAATCACAAAGGCGGCCTGCAACTGCAACAGCAGGGCCTGGGGCAGGGGCAGGGGCAGGTTCAGGGCCAGCCACCTCTGCCGCAGCCAGCGCCAGCAGCACAGCTCCAATTGCCGGCAGCGTCTGGCTCGTTGTATGGCATGTCGCTGCCACGCACCGGCATTTACCAGCCGCCACAACAACAACAACTACAGCCTCCAGTTTTGAGCGTGCCACAACAGACGCCTCTTGTTAACTGGCCACAAGTCGCGGCGCCGCCAGCTCAAATTGCCGTGCAACAGCAGCAACAGTTACAGCCAGAGCAGCAGCAACAGAGCCACGCCTACATAACTGCTGCAGCAGCACGCCCACCAGTTGCCCCACCGCAAGCCATGTTGCCCGTGTTGAATGCAGCGCCAACGCTGGGCAAGAATCAGCCGGCTGATGAGGAGTACGACGAGTACGAGGAGGACAAGTCCACAGAGCCGCCCAAGAAGGTGAGTTTTATATTAGGCTCGACTGTTGTTCCTAACTCAGCTGAACCCATTCCACAGAAGCAGCGCAAGCACAAGAAGGCCAAGCCCAAGAGCAGCAGCAGCAGCAAGGATCCCATTGAGCTGGCGCTGGAGCAAAACAAACAGCCGCAGCAACAGTTGCCGCCGCCTGCCATGCCCGTGCCGGTTGGACCCGTCCACGAGCAATACAAAATGATACACGACAATCTGGCGCTGGAGTTTCGTGATCATGATGGTCACTCGGAGCGTCCCGGCGGCGCAGTGCTCTCCCTGACGCTAGGTCTGCTGGTCACCGCGGCGCTGGCCATACTCATTGGCTGTCGGATGCGCACGGTGGGTCGGCGAGCACGTCGCATGGGCGGCAAGACGCCCTATTCCCAGGAGGCGGACTTCCTCGTCAATGGCATGTATCTATAAGGCAGGGCCAGGGCAAGTCCTTCGTAGTAAACACATCCATATATATATAAACCGTTTTGTGTGCCAGTCTCGCGTGGGTTGGGGGCTTTGGACGTGTGCCACATGCATCCAAATTAGTGAATTGAAATGAATGTCAAACATATTTTATATAAACAATTATATACAAACATAACGAATAAAACATAATTTAAAATAAACAAAATATTGTCGAAAACTTAAATACAAAAAATCGGACTAGAGGAAAGTGTTCTTTAAGCTGAAAGACTCGAGAAGATATTGGATATGTTTTTGCATTGGTTCCTCTTCAAAGTTGTCTAATTTTAAATATTTTGGAATTTTCGGAATTTTTTCGACTATCTTTTGCGTGGTAACTTTATGATATAATATTGCTCGGATAATGATATTTGATTTATATGAGTTTTGTCAAAGTATCTCAAACAAAACAAAATATGAATCAAAAGAAAAAAACTTTAAACAAAAACAAAACGATGGACCTAGCTGCATTAATCAGAAAGCCTACATAATCATTATTGCTTTAGTTTTTATATTTTGAAGCCATGTTGCAAGATTGTAAGTTAATATCATTCTTTTGAGCATGACAAATAAAACTGACAAAAATTATTATAATAATAGACTTAACAAATTTGTCGTAATGTAAAAAGGTTATGCAGTTCCTTGTTGAGTTTTATTTTCAAGCGAACGTGCTCTCAATTCTCATTTTCGTTCCTTTTATTGCTTCAAAATTGATTATAATCAGAGTTTTATTACTTTATGAACTATAAAACAAAATTAAAAAAATAATTTTTAACTGGTTATTGTGTTTTTTTATAAGACAAAACTTATAATAATTAGGGTCCCTGATATAAACACATCTCCCATTTAAGACATGGCGCTTCACATCTTTAAATAGTTACCTTTATTTTGTTTTTAATCAATTTTCTCTTGCTCATAAACTTATTGTTTATGTTTTCGCAATTTCTTATGTTTTCTCTCAATTGAGTCTTTAAAACTACAAAATAATAGGAAGTTTTTGTTTGTTTTCTCTTTCTTTTTTTTTTTGTTTTCATTATTTTGTTATAAATTTTGCAATTCGTTTAAAATACCACGCAAATTTCGTGATTTTCATATTTATGCTCGCATTTTTTTTTCATTCTTTTTATTAATAATACACAATTTTTACAGCACGAGAATGGCCAAAGAACAATTTTGACGCTTACAGATATCACATTAAAACATAAACTAAATCAAATTGTTTATAAAATAACAAAAAGGTTTTTCTTTGCAATTTGGAAAAAATTGTGTCTTACATTGTTTGTTGAAATGTATTGTTATTTGTTTTTACATTGAGTCTTTTTTTTATGTTTTGTCAAGAATTCTTAGTTGTTGTTGTTGTAGTTGTTGCTGCGGCCATTTATAATCGAGAATTTGCTCAAAATTACGAAATTTGCTGCCCTGACGATTTGTTATTTGTTTCGTTTGTTGTGTTAATAAGTATATTTACTAAAATAGGCTTTGTTTGTTGTTAATTGTTTAGCTCCATTTTTACTTAACACTGTACAGATACTCGTAATGTAAACTAATTGTATTTATAATTATTTATTTATTTATGTGGTTGATTAGTAAATATGCCAATGTGAAGTTGAATGATGTGTTGATTATGGTTCAATATGGTTCAGTGTTTCCTTTTCTTTCAATTGATTTCTTGTTTTTTTTTTTTTTTGTATTTCTGTGTTGCTTCTAAAACAAACGAAATTTTGAACACGCAACTTACAAGTTGCTAAAATTGTTTTTACACTTTTTCTGCTCGTATAAACAATTGTACATATCTCTCGAACTTGTTTGTGTGCGTGTTTAGCGTATTGATAAAGTTACAATTACAGAAAGAATTTTTTTGTTGCTTTTTTTGAATGGGATACGTTTTAACTATTGTTGTTGTTTCCTGTTGTTGTGTTATGTTGTTAAGTTAATAGTTAGCGTACTTTAATATATTTATTTATAATTTGCGAATTTTCGTTTTTTGCTGCAGCTTGTGGTACGTGTATAATGCTAGGACTTGCGCATCATGTTGCGTACCTGCGAAAAGAGGCGAGAATTAGTTTGGTTCAAAATGTTTCCAACTGTTTCCACTCACCGCTTTGTCCAGAGACGCGCAATTCGATCGTGCTCCTCTCGATTCTGCAAATATTGCGTGGCAATGCTGCCAACCAAAGGATCAGCTGAAAGCACCAAAATCAATTCATATAGAGATTAGAGATAATACATATATGAATTGTATACGCACCAGGATTACAATCTGTGAGCAGGGAACAAATCGAGAGTAAAACTTTTGATATGGTCAGCGCCGGCGACCAATTGTCCTTTAATATGTCCAGACAAATGACGCCCTGGCTATTGATATTGCAGTGATAGATGCGAGTGCGAAATGTGACTTTGGGCGGTTTAAATGGATACTCGGGCGAAAAGTGTATGTCCAGGAAGAATACGCCGCCCTCGTAGACAGAACCAGGCGGTCCCAATATGGTCGACACCCATTCATACAGATTATCGCCCTTGGGACCAGCACTGCAATTGGGCGGCGGATCCAATGTGATTTCGGCCAGTTCCTTTTGTATGCGCTTGGCCGAGGTACCCAGCGCTTTGGATATTCTGGGCGTTGACTTCGTATCCTTGCGTGGCTCGTCGCTGGTTGCAGTCGCCGTCGAATTATTGCTACCCGAGGCAGCATTGGCGGCCGCACTGCCGCCATTCGTATTGGCGCCGCCACGACCACGTGCTGGTGTGCCGGCGGCTGTGGTCTGGTTGCTGGAGGCAGTGCTGCTCGAGGAACTGGCGCTGGATGTGGCCGCAACGCTGGAGCTGGTGGCGCTGCTGCCGGCACCAGACGCCGCTGCTGGAGTTGAAGACATGACGTTGTTTACAGTCTTTTAAATGGTTCGTCTTAGCTATTAGGAGGGCTGCTGTAAAGGAAACAAGTCATGTAGTTAGACATGGTTTTATGTGCTAAAGATGCAACTAAACACTTTTGAAGCTTTTATTACAATTAAAGCAACTTTATCAATAAAATGGTAGCCAGAATCAAACAGAGTTAGTATCAAAGCGATTTATGCGAGCTCGGTTATCGTTATCAAAAAAAAGTCAAGCAAAGTTTGGATATATTAGAATTATATTTGGCTTCCTTTGATTTGGGACTGTCTGGCCTACAGCGTTGCCATATAGTAGAAACCGCGTTTTTTCGTAGCATATGAGAAAAGACGTAAGTAATTAGTTTAATTTCTTGAAAGTATAGAATTTTTCGAATTCGTTCGAAAAATCGAACGAGGTAGTTTTTCCAATTGAGTTAGATGGCCTCCGCACTGGCGTGTGCCTTGCGATAGGTCCTTGACCCGTTTCGGCTGTGTGTGGAGACGATAGGCAAACAAACTGTAAAATTGAGAGCCCCAAAAACCTCATGCCACAATCTATTCATTTAAAGCCCCATCGGATTAAATTTAATCACCGGAGCGCGCTGCCCGTGCAGAGAGAGACGCAGAGGCAAGCGGCCATTTTGGCAAGCGTTGCTGCTGCTGCTGCTGGCTGCAGCACGGCAGAGAGGTAACGACGTCGGCGGCGGCGGCGGCGACGGCAGCGTTTGGAGTTTGCCATTGGCCATGACAAAGCCCAAGCTCTTAGCGCATAGCGGTTGTGTTTAATTATAGCGTTAACTCAAAGAGCTGGGCACAAATTTGCTGGTTGCACGCGGATGCAGTTAAAAAAATCAATCAGCTCAGCGCAGACATTTGCAAAAGTCTTTGGCTATGCCGTTGTGCCGCTGTCAAATGTCTGATTGCACAATTTGTGGCAATAACACATTGTTTGAACTTAGACAAAGAACTGCACGGGGTTAATTGTACGATACGCACCTTTTGCAAATAAAATTTGATTACTTTTACGTCGCGAAAACACTGCAAAATTGTTCTGCTCCCTGCTGTCGCGCTCGCTCTCTCGCCTCTCTTTCGCTCGCTGTCTCACACTTGACCGCGTTGTTTTTGCTGTTCTCTGTTCGGCGAGCGTTGCCCAACGCGCGTCGCACTTTACACTTTAATTGTCCGGCTTGTTTTTGTTGCCTAAATTTCTAAACTATTACTTCATAAAGTTTGCTTAAATTGTTATTAGGCTGGTCGTTGTTGGACAGTCAGGCAAACAAGCCGTCGACCGCTTTTGATGTTTCTTTTGTTGTCAAATTAATATCGATGCAGCCTTGTTATCGATAGTTGCTATAAGCGTGTGCAGTATATCGCCGGTAACTATTGCACAATGTTAATCGATATTTCTGTTGCAAAAACAAACAAAAATTAGACATTTTATTTAAACTTAGCGGCGTCTAGCAGTTACTATATATTAATTGTATACGTCAACATTTCACTTTGTTTCCATATTTTCTACTGTTGCTTTGCCCGACTTAAACACACGCACAGTGTTATCGGCACCGCCAGAAACAATGTATTTCGGATTCGACCAGTCGATGTCCAGAACCTTTTCGCCATGCCCCAGCAAATCGTAAAGCGGCGCCTTGGGGCTTCTGTAATCCCACAGTTTGTTCTGGTTATCATATGAACCAGACACAAACAGGAACTCCTCCGTATTCGACCACATGACTGTCTGCACCCAAGCATTGTGTCCCAGATAAGTGTTGCGCACCACAGAACCCTCTGAAATTGAAGAGTATTCATTAGTCGAGTTTTACGAGTTCCAGGTTTTTTAAGTTTTACATACGATTTGTACGCGCATCATATAGACGCAGATTCTTGTCCGCCGATGCGGTGACAATCAGGCGATTCAATTTGGAGTAGCTGGCATCGAATATAGATTTGTTGGTCGATATCTCTGTCTTGATGCCTTCCATTTGCAGATCCCAGACTTTGAGCGTGTGGTCCCAGCTGCCAGTCAGCAACGTTGTGGCGTCCATCCACTGTACAGCCGAAATGCTCTCCCGATGGCCCTGCAGCGTCATCTTCGGCGTCTATGCAGAAAACGGAATTGAATTTAGAAGTTATCGGGAATAGTTAATTGTTGGCAGACTTACTCTAACGCCGCTCTCCTTGACTCGCTTTGCGGTGCCCTCGCTGGTGTCATCCAATCCAGCTGACCATATTTTAAGCATTGTATCCCAGGAGCCGGTTGCAAATCGCTGCGCATCCGGACTCACACAGACGCTATCGACTCCGCGTTCGTGGCCCTTGCACACGGACACACATTCCACGGCATTTGAAGCAATGTTCCACTGCCACAGCATGGCTGTCTGATCCTGTGAGGTGGACACAAAGCGTCCGTTCTCGTCGTCCATTGATATCCAGTCCACAGCCTTGATAGGCGCCGTATGACCGGGTATCGTTAGCTTGTGCTTGCCCTTGTTTGTCCAAATGTTGATGGTGTTGTCGTAGCAGCCAGTCAGGATCCATTTGCCGCATGCTTTTACCGCCGACACCCAATCGTCGTGCAGCAGGCAATCCTGCGGCTCTGGCGCCGGAAAACGTTCGACATACTCAATATCAATCGCATCCTCAAAGCTGATGGCCTTCTCGCGCAGATGATCGCACAGCCGACCGCGCAGATACTCGTCGAATACAAGAAAATCAAAGTCAACACCTTCGGCGCCTTTGCTCTGCAACAGCGCATTTAGGAATATATTCAGCTCCATGGTGGACACGCTGCCTTCGATGGCATATGGGACATCAGGCACAGCATAGCTAAGAGAATTGTTAACATAATTATAAAATAAACTAATGGGTATTTGATGTACTCACTGTTCTTGTTTGGTTTTAAGGTGCACCTGCACCTGCCCCTCGCCGTTCTCTGCTTCCATATTCCCGCACACGTGCGTTTCGATGCGGTGTTTTTGTTTCGTTTTTGCTGCTTGTGTGCAGTAACAGAACTGTTGGATTAACTCTTGCTCAGTGCACTTACTTGGTTTTGCAGCACGGAAAGGCTTATAAAGTATTTATCGTATGCTTTAAGTGAGCAATACTACATAAATAATATTTATTTAATAAATCGCCAATTGAGGTGACTGCAGATAGATTAGTGATGCACCCAAATTCAAAAACATCGATAGATATCGATGGCATGTAAATTTTATGTTATGCTACTGCAATAAAAATACATGTTAACATATTTTATTAATAAGGCATAATTTAATGCTAAAATAAATGGTTAAACTATTAAAATTTAAAGCAACATTTCGTGTTTTATTGTTATCGATAGATTGTGGCGGCGGGCAATATATTGTGTGGAGCTGCCAACTTGGCGTAAACATCGCTGTGAATTTCTATCGAGCGCACAAGATATCGCTTATCGTTTATTTAAATATTACCGCGAAATTTGAACAAACAAATCAGCTTCAGCAGACAAAGTTGACAAAATTGACGAGCTGAATGCTTAATGCAGATGTAAACGGCACATATGTTATTTAATCATGTACTGCTTATGCAAGGCAAACATGCAAAAATAAAAAATCCCAAAAGTTAATCGTTTAATAATTAACATTGATATGCTGCGCTGCCAGACACGGCGATGATGCGCTGCATTTGTTGACGGCTTACGCAAAAGCTGGTTAGCAATTTACAATTTGGTGGCTCTTCAAGCTGCGCACAATTGTTAAACTTTATTATTACCGCCGCGCCGCGGCCATTAATGAACCAGATAGTAATGCCTACACTTGAACGGCAACTGGTCGGAGCGGCACTTGGCTGCGGCACTGGAAGGTTAAGCGCCTCTTGACATTTCTGTTGTGGCTTAACCTTCGCCACAAAAGTGGACAAATGCCCAATAATAATGTTTAAAAATAATCAAAACTTTTATGGGTCGCTTGGCAAAAAAACAAAAAATAAAACAGCCTAGCAATGGTAAAACTGAACTTTTTTTGTTTTTAGTTTTCTTTTTCGTTGGCTAAAAACCAGAAATAAACACAAGCGAAATGTTTGCTGGCGCCCAGCGGCTTTCCAGACGCGCCGCTTCCAGTCTTGGCTCAGCTTATAAAAAGCGCACGGCGCCTGCGCAGCCGAATCATTACAACAAAGCTCGCGCGCCAGGTAAGACAGCAAAAGCGTGCACAAAAAACACTTAAATAACGGGCTAACGGGCATTTCTTGCAGTGAGCGAATCGATAAATCGAATTAAAAAAATAAAATGAAATTCTTGGCGTTATCCGTGCTGCTGCTGCTGCTGGCTGGCAGCGCCTGTTGCTTGCCACAGACCCGGGAGGGCGCCGCCTACACGAACGAGGCCATACGGCAGGCGCAGCAGACGCTGCTCATACCGAAGGATGCGCAGATCCAGAACGTGCAGGAGGGCATCGAGCTGGGCGCCTACGAGCAGATACCCGGCAATCAGCGCATCAATCTGTTCGATATACTCGGGGACACGGTGCCCTCGGAGGTGATAAACAATCTGCAATCGCAGGTCGATCAAATTGGACGCAATTAAGTTTAGATCAAGCGATTTGTTAAGTTTTACAAAGCACACAATAAGCAAAGAAACTAAAAATAAAAATACAACAACAAATTATTTAAGTATTAACAAATGAGATATTTGCATTTCTTGACCCACCTACCTCCCTACCCCCGCCCAACAAATTAAACAAAAGCGAAAGTCGAACTCCTACAAACCAGTTGCTCCTCCTCCTCCTCCTACTCCAATCGAAAGTGTGAGACCAAGACCATGATGAAGACGCAGACGAAGACGAAGACTTTCTCCGGCTGGGATCCCGCGGCGCATACGAAATTAACCAAAATTGTTTGCTTGCAGCTCCTCAACCTTGTTACATAAGACGTTGTTGCTTTTATTTTTATTTTTGTTGTTTTTTGTTTTTTTGTTTTTAGCGTATTGCGGATTACAGTTCAATATATTGAATGTTGCCGATGCTGTTGTTGTTGTCATTATTATTATTATTGTTGCCTGCGGCGTAAGCCGAGTCGCTGTTTGCGGCCGCCTTTGTTGCTGTTGTTGTTGTTGTGGCAACAGTTGCCTGTTGCCGCTGTGATGCAACATTCGTTGTTGACGCTGTCGTGATATTTGTTGTGTACGTTTTGTTCATTTAATTTCTTGGTAATTGCCGCCGCATGCACTTGCATATTTAATGAAAACTCATGTTGTTGTAGGTGTGTCCGATTGCGCAATTGTTGCTAGGACAGGTGTGCGTATGCGTCTCTTCACGCAGGCAACAGCTGTGCCACAGCGCTCTTCTACGCGCTTCTCACGCTCTTTACGTCAACTAGTTTACAATTTGAATTACTATTTATACACTTTTTATTGAAAATGATCTTGAAACTAAATTTACGCTAGTTAAATTAAATGTTTATTTTATTTTCATATTTTTCTTTTTTTTTCACATTAACACGAATAATCTTTTGCGCGTCTAAATAAATTATTATTACTTTTTTCGTATTATTTTATATATATATATTTTTTTCTTTTCCAGCTTAAGAACTAAAAAATGACTGCACTTTTGACACTTTTCATTATATTTATATGAATTTTGGGCATATGTTTTTTTTTTTTTATTTATTATTTAGTTTATAAATATTAATTAAAGTAATTACTTTAAATTAGAACTTTCAATATTCAGTCTAAACTTAAAAGCTTTTCAAATCGAACAGGACTAAATAATTTGCATTAAAAAAAACATCACTAGAGCATTTGCCATTCGTTCTTTTTTATACTTTTCTTTTATGCAATAAATTAAATATTAAATAAATTCATCGTAAATAAAACAAGTTAAATAATATGTTTCATAATTTTGTGCAATGACAATTTTTGTGTTTGTGGGCGTGGCATTATGAAATGTTTTAGGGGTTTTAATGTGTTCTTAACTAACGAAAAACTTTTTAAATTTATTTATTTATATGAATAAATAAATTCTAGAACTAAGCAAATTTCTATTCTTTTTGCACACAATGTGCACATAGTGAAAATTGAATAAAAATATATTTATTGCATTTGGGGAGCCCAGCTTTATGTTTTCCTGTTGTATATGTAATTGTTGCTAATTGTAAGGCGAACTTAAATCCTAGATAAATTCAAGTTTGGATAACGCGCGAGTTGAATTTGGAGTTAAATGTGCTGTCAGTGAAAATTATTTGTTTTTGTTTTTTTATAGTGTTGCTTTCGTTTCTTGCTACTTAAACTTAAGACTTTTCGCTTTTTAGAAAAATTATCGATAGCTGGCTATCGATTATCGATATGTAATCGAGCTGTAATCATTACATTCGTTAATTAATAATCGCTTCAGTGTGAATTGAAAAAAATAAAACGATACACTCATGAATTTCAATTACTTGAGTAATGCGTTTCTTAAATTTTAATTACTTGGTAATTATAGTTGAATTACCATGGCGTTTACTTAGTTGTTGTCACAATTATTAAAGCAATTGCAACTTGTCAAATTCACTTCTCAATTTTAATTACTGAATTAATCGTTTAGGTAATTGTTTATGGTAATTGAAAATTACAGCTCTGCTATGTGTTCTAGTATATATATACACCAAATATCAATTTGTTGTGCTACCTGCTTTTAGTATAGTCGCTGCAGAAAGAGACGCTCCAGACGCTGATCCGCTTCCACGAAACTCTTCTCGGCACGGGTGGACGCCTTGCCAGCGGCATTTGTGTTGGCACCAGGGTCCGCCTGCTGCTCCTGGCTCTCGTCCAGCTTGAGACTCTCGGCATCTGCCTTGGGATCCTGTGCCGTGCCCTGTGCCTGTCCAGCGCCCGAGCCCAGCTCATCAATGTCCGGTGCCTGGACGCGTGTATTGGCACGCGGCGTTGTTGGCTCCCGTAACTCGCCGCTGCCGCTGCCGGTGTCCAGCTCGCCGCTGGTCTCGTTCTCGCTCTGCCTGGCACTGATCTTGGCCAGCTCGTTGACGTTTTGTATGCGTGTCTCCGCGGAGCTGTCCTCGGCACTGTACATTAGCGGCACTTGTGCCGACGTTGCGACCTTTTCCACACTGGACGCCTGCGTCAGCATGTTCTCCGTTGAGGAGCCAAAGGACTGAAAGAGTTCCAGGTCACCGCTGCCGCTGCCGCTGCCACCGCCGCTGGCATCCAGACTGTTCTCAGTGACCAGCTTGGTGCGTTTGTTGTCCCGCTCAAAGGGGCTGATTATGCTGCGCTGCTCATCCTTGTTCTCCGCCTCGGCAATCTCGTCCAGTTCGGACAGCGGAAAGTTAACATCGCGCAGACTGAAATCATCTTCGGGCAGCGAGGGATAGGCGGGATTGGATTCCACCTGCGGCACCTCATCCTCATCCATGTGATGCACGGGCTGCACAGTGCTCGAAGCGGGCGACTCGCTGCTGCTGCTGCTGCTGGTGCTGGAAACCAAACCCTCTGTGCTCGATTCCAGCTCCATGGTGACATTGCCATAATATGTGGAGCTCTCCTCGCCTATGTGCAAGGGTCCCTCCGTACTCAGTTGCTGCTCCGGGTTGCTGCTGCTGCTGCTGCTGTTGGGTCCTTCTGTGGTGGAGATTATGTGATAAATATTGTCGCTGCCCGCTGTGTCTGGCTCCAGCTCCGACTCGGCTGCTGGCTTGCTGCTCAACAACCCGGCGACGCCCTCTGTGGTATACTCCCGCTTGATGTTCACCTTGCTGGGATCGTTCTCGGCCAGCGGCTGCAGTCCGTCCGCATTGTAGGTGACCAGCGGCTTCAGCTGCTGCCCAACAACAATGTGATTGCCGTGCGAGAGCGGCCGCTCAATGTAGCCCACCGAGGCGATGAGCTTTAAGCTCTCGCTACCATTGACTGGAAGTGCTTTCTGGTTGTTGTCTTTGCTAAGCCCAAAGCTGCGCGTTGGTGTTGCCGCCGTGCTGGTTGCTGCTGTTGCTGGAGATGTTGTTGCTGTGGCTTCAGTTGTTGCCGTCGCTGTTGCTGTTGCTGCTGCTGCTGCTGCCGCTGTTGTGCTGTCAGCAACTGTTGCTGTTGCTGTCGTGCTATCAGCAACTGTTGTTGTCGTGCTTGTTGCTGCCGGCGGCGCCTCCGTATTGGCCACTTTGCGTGTGGGTATCGTCTGCTTGGGCTTGTGATTGTCATCGGTTATGCGTATCTCTGTCGGCTTGGTAATCTCCTTGATGGTTATGTTCCAATTGAAGCCAGCGGGCGGTGCAGCCGGCGCAGGCTTCGCGGTTGACGGCGTCGCGCTGCTCGAATCGCTGCTCAGCGGCGGATTGTTGTCCAGAACTGTGGGCCAGAGGCAAGCGGGGTAAGTGCATTGTCGAGAATTTGGCTTATTATTCTACTCACTGGGACAATTGTCGTACTCCGGACAGCAGCGACCGGTCACGTATTTGGGCATGCAATCATCGCGTCGGAAACATGTCACCGAGCTGCACACAATTTCTCCACCTGGAATAATTGAAATGTTGCCTTAATTAACTGTTGCACTTGCTCGGATTCGTCCACAGCCAATTGTGTGGCTCGAAACTGACAAACTGGACATGTTTGAAGGCTAGTTATAGGGAATTTAGAAACCTAATAAGAATATGGGCATTTGTTATTTCTCCCAGTGTGTGGAAGCTCGCTTTTAAAGAAACCTTTAAGCCAAACCCTGCTTGGACTGAGGGAAGCTTAAACAGCTCCTCGTTTGTTTAATTGAAATTTGTTTTCATTTTTTATTGCATGGCGACAATCTGCGGCAGCTTACCTTTGCAGTAGCACACGGTGCACGGTGTATCCGGATCAACCAATTTATCACCGTTCGCATAAGTTTTGCCATCCTTTTCGCAATCTGTAAAGTAAAAGCCAAGGTAAGCACCAGAAATGATGATTGGCGCCGTTTGTGGCCGTCGGGCCATTTGCATAAATATGCAACGTGTGGCATGGGGCAACTTACCGCATTTGTAATCGGGACAACAGTGTCCTGTGCGCTGGATGGCGCGGCAGCTCGTCTGCTTCTCGCAGTGCACCGTCGTCTCCGGCACCCAGAGCCCGTCCAGCAGACATTGGCCTAAAAATAATATGAAATGCGGCATTGTTTGGTTTGTTAGTTAAAGGTCGCGGGGGCAGACAACTTACCCTGCGGCTGCTGTTGCTCCGCCAGCGTCTCGGTGCTGCTGCTGGCACTGGAACTGATGCTGCTCGGCGTGACCGGCGCGACCGGGACAATTGTAGAGGATGCGCTGCTGCTGCTGCTGCTGCTGTTGGTGGGCACTGCAAGTGGAAGCAACAAGAGGCATATTGTATAATGAGAGTCAACAATGGAGCCAACGATCCTTGGGCCCTTGCTACATATTTGAATGAATGACATTTTGATAACAGCTATTTTTTTTTTCTCGGCTCTTGTTGTTAGTTTTCCTGGTTCTTCTTGGGCCAGGTAAACTGCCAACAAAATACGGCAAAAGTTAAATGAGTTTAGTTTTAGTTTTGGCTCTTTCTGTTAGCCCACCATACGCAGCTGGGCGTGGCCAGGCCAACAGGATGTTGTAGGTTTTGTCAGTTGCACTCGATTGTCCTGTCGCCCTCCCACCCCACAGCCCAGCCCAGCTCACCGCCCACTCGTCTAATTCTGATTGGGCGCCTGTCAGCTGAGGACAAGCTCTTAAATTTCATTGGAATTCTCAAACCACAAATTGTTGTCCCTTGTTTGCGTCATCTACTGTGCTGTCATTTCGGAGCCATGAAAAATGATTAAATATGCGCCTGCATTAATCATACGCACTGTGCGCCAACGCATTTTTATTCTTTCTCTGGCAACTCCTTTTTATTTGTTGTCATCCCAAAATTGTTTTGCCAGCTCTGGCTCATTAGGCGACTGCATATGCTTTTGCTTACATTGTTCGGCTTGGGCTTTCGTGGTAAATAAAATAATAACAAAAAACCCGACATGTATCTGGATATCTGCTTACTAGCGAGAAGTGCAAACAGCACCCAGTTGGTTCTGTTCTTTTTTTTCTTTATAAATGTTTGCAAAAAGGCAACTGAAGCTAATAGAAAAATATATGAATTTAACACACATTTTGCGCACGGAAGAAATAGCAAAATATTAAAGTGATTTTTACAGCTCGCTGGCGGAAATTCTTATTATTTTCTGGTTTTTTTTTTTTTTTGGAATTTTAAGTTATTTGCAGCTCAAAATAAGTTGTCAAGATGTTTGAGTATCATTTAAGCCTGGTAACACTTTTGATAATATTTCAATTTTGTATCATTTGAATTCTTCTTAGTTTAGAGCTACGCAAAAATATTGAATACTTTTTTAAGTCCAAAATCTTCACTTAATATTTGTTATAATTACATATGCCCTTTTAATTATTTTAGGCAATTTGACCTTGCTTTTCAAATCAGGACTAAAAGTCAACATGTGCTTATGCAATATTATGAATTAATGATACTTTGCTTTGAGGCCGAATAACAAATTAAATTATTTTAGTGGAATGTGCTTCTTTAAGATTAATGATAAGCTTGTTCTTCTTTTTTCTCTGTTTTTTAATATTTTCTTGGAAAGACTGTCAAAGAATTAATTTATGAAACATTTAATTCAACAAGAAGAAGAATGTTAGAATCAAAAATCAAATTTAAGATCGAAAAAGGAAAAGGCATTCGACTTGTAAAATTAACTATAATTTTTTAAAATAAATAAATATAAATATTTAAATGGGCTCTTATAAACTTTATAAATCATTTAAAATGGAAAGCTTGTTAAAGCCTGCATTATATATATTTTAAATTTAAAAAAATAATTAACATTGTTTTTGCTAAATAACTATTTATAAAACTGACCAGAAAAATGGTTGTAAATATTTTAAAATAATTAAATAAAAATTTATATTTTATAGCTTAAATAAATGCGAATGAAATAAAGAGTTGTATTTTAATTTTCCAAGCGATTCATCGAATAAGATGTTTGTAAAGATCAGACTGATCAGACTACTATATATTTCTTTAAAATATGTCCACTTTACTCTCATTGAATTCCTTCTAAATTTCTAGAACGATGATTGACAATTGGAACCGACAGGTGGCGCTGCAATCGAGTTGCAATAGAAAAACGTTTAACGCAATTTGATTTGTTTTGAAATAAAAATAATTTAAATTAAATAATCAATCAAATAAAAGAAAATATTAGATAAATAAAATTCACTTCTATAAAAGAAAACTCACATAAAATCTGCATAATACGAACTATATCTGTATCTTTTCTCGCCTGAGTTTAACTCTAGTCAAAGCTCATTAACTGCTGACTCAACTGCTGGCTAAGTATTTATGCGCTCCATATCATTTCCTGGCTACATTATTTCCTGGTTAGCTAAATATCATTCCATGCTTGAGCTGGCTTTGCACAGTGCCTGCACATCTGCGCGTTCTCGCGACAGGTGATTCAGGTGATTTTTTGTGTGCTCTCAAAATGTTGAAATAATACTTATATATATATATTGTTTGTCTGGCACTTGGCATACGTTTTTGTTATGTAACATGCGAAATTTGAAACGTTGCAATTAGCTGAACAGCTTCCCGTTTTCATTTTGTAGAATCCGCGACTTGCCCCATTGTGTTTCTATCATTCTTCATTTTATTTATGATGATGCCCGTCGCACTTAAGTGCGCTCTACTGTGTGACAAGGTGTCTATGTGTGACTGTGTCTGTCTGTCAGTCAGTTTTTGGCCGGCCAACACGTTTTAAATGAGCGAAATTATAATGCGCATTATGTAGAACAGCAGCAGCAGCAGCAGCAGCAGCAGCGGCGGCAGCCACAAGCGGTAATTTGAATCGTACGGCTGAGATTACGTATACGCCACCGACAGATCTTATTTCAGATTTGAGCTTTAGCTTCTTTACGATTCCGTGTAAGTTGTACTTAAGATTGTCGCCTTTGTCTTAGCAAATTTATTGTTGCCTCTGGAAATTGCATTGGAAATTAGCATTTGATTGTTTTTGTTTTTTTGTTTTTCTTTCTCGTTTCCCGTATGCAAATCGTACGATTCATGGTCATATGATTGCATTGCCTGTGCCTTTGTCTTTTTTTTTGTCAATTTTAATTTGCGGCCAGTAATAAATGATGAGCACAATTTGGACGCAATTGTTGCGAACAAACAGGGATAAATAGAAAATAGAGCGAGAGAGAGAGAGAGATAGGCGCGCGTAACCGCACTATTAATAATACTTAGTGGGCCCATTGATAAATATGGCGGCAGTTAAAAGCAGGGCCATAAATGTGCAAGTACAACAAATCAGCAAACAATTTTTCGGGCCTGTCCACAATGGTTGAGTCAAACGGCATGCTCTGCGGTTCTGGGCCAAGTTCTCACACAGCGTGGGAATTGTCTGTCCAGCTACCTTCTCTCTACCCCTCCCGCTCTCTCTCTCTCTCTCTTACCAGCCACTTCATAAACTAGTCAACTTTAGCTTAAGACGAGGCAGAAGGACATTGTCGTCTTGGCTGGCAGGCCATTATTAGATTTTCAGCAAGTGGCATGCCCCATGCCCCATGCCACACAGAATGTTCTGTTATGAGCCTGTCTAGTGGCTGCTTTCCACTTAAGCATTTTGCGGTTAGTTAGATCGAGAAACTGTTTTGTTTATGAAGTGCAGGCCAGGCTTGGCTCTGTGAAGCAGGAAAGGCGAACGGAATTATAGTATATTCTTTGGCTCATAAATTGTAATTGTGATTGCCGACTGCAACTGTAATACTTGGAATTTATGTGCTGTGAAACAGACGAAATATATATGTATATAGAGGGTGCCTCCAGCTATATGTATCTCAAGTCGTGTATCGTATCAAGCTATTGTTGCCGCAAAAATCAGCCACGCGTAAGACGGCAGCTGAAATGCGATTTGAAATTGATGCTTAAATGCCAGTAAAAAACACAACAACAACAACAACAACAACAACAAAGGGAGACTAAAACAATAACAACATAGACAAACAGACAACAAACGAGCGTTTTGAGCGTTTGTCAACTTTGTGTTTTATTTGTTTGTCACACTGCAAAATGATAAATGAGCCGCAGCTCGAGCGGCTCGGTTCGGGTCTCTAAAAAGCTGCCCAGAATAAATGCCAACTCATCGAGCGGAGCGAGGAGAGCGAGAGAGAGAGGGGGCAAAAATAGAGTTAACAAATTATACGCCTAAATGGCAGGTGATATTCGTGCGCTTCAAGATATGTTTATGGGGACGAGCTGGGCGAACTTTGTTTGAGTAATATATATACCTGGCATATACCCTAGTATTTGCATTGCGTAAAGCGCAATTTGGTTAGACAATTGCGTCAATAATCAAATTTAACGAGCACTCGGCTCACTTTAAATATAAATATTTGCGCTCGTTATTCATTTCCTATATTTATGGCAAATTTAGTGGAACTAGTTCACGAGCTGCTATAAAGAACTAGCTGACGGTAGCACAGAAATTAGGCAAATTACCTTTCAAATGGCAAAGCTACGTGCTTTCACATAAACTAATAACAAAATCAAGCACAAAACGTTGACGTCTTTGACTTTGTTTGACTTTGCGTAAGTGGAGTGTACATTTTATGGAAATTATTACTTTGTTTTGTTTTTTTGCAAATGGCAAACTAAATTAGATTTGCAATTGGTCTTAAAGTTGATTCGGTAATTTTACAAAAATTACGTTTTATTTTTTTGAGTTTAATTTAAAACCAAAATTGGCAGCACAGCAAAATGAGTTCTCGAAACAATCGACCCAAACAGCTGCTTAAGTGTTGTAAAGTTTCACAGAAATATAATGGAAATGGAACATGTGAAACACAAAGTCATGAATAATGAGCAGCAGCTACAAACGAAATCACACGATTTTGCTACAATTTATATAGCTTAAAATTAAAATAAATAAATATTTATATTTAAATTAAATAAATATTTACATTATATTGTTTTGTAATCGTGCATAGATACACATATGGTGGCATTGTTATTTATAAACTCCGAGTGTAACTAAGAATATAATTTCAAATATATAGTTGACAAATATTTAATTGTTGATGTTTATTAAAAGCTTGCCAAAAGCTCGTTTACCCTACATTAACACAAAGTAATTCCTTTATATTTGCGATACAACAACATTATTTTTACTCGTTTGTCAACACTTGTGTGCACGTTTTTTATGGCACTTCGCATAAATCTTTCCCAAGTTAACGGCATGACCAAGATCTTTTTATGATAATGTAATCATGGTTGTTTGCCGCTATATTCAAATG